TACGTACTTACAACTCAAAGGCCGGAAGAGATGGATAATAAACCATTGGCAATTACAAGGGGACAAGGCAAAAGTGGGATCAAGATGACTACATTTGCAACACAATGCCCGATACCCTCTTTGATAAATATCATAGCAAGGAGATTGTTGAGGAGATTGAGATGCATTTGAGGCCAGAATATATGTCGAGAGACTCCAAAGCTAAGAATTTTTTAGCTTCTAAATTTCATCAATATAGGATGGTTGATGGTAAAAAGTTAAAGGAACAATTTCATGAATTATACAGGAAAATAATTACTTCAACAACATAATATGAATACTGTTATCTCCCCATATCTGAGGCCCCAGCTCAGACGTGTAAGCAAACAGGCCCACGTGGGCTAGGTGCCAGCTGCAAATAGTCAACAAGTTAAAAGAGATCCAGTAGGTCAAACACGCCAGTGAAGATAAGTAGGCCGAGGTCCTCAACACAATACTTGAAGTTATCACACTGTGTAACGAAGTCCTGATGCATCTCATCAAAGATGAGGCTCAAGCCCATCAGAGGCCCTCTCAACTCGTTCGAGGTTCGTAAAGCCGACGCTGTCCCTTGTAATGGATTTGAAGATCTCTTAAAAGTGATTGATGTGATATTTGTAATAAAGTGTGTCAGAATGTCAGTGTGTCAGCCTAAGAATAGAACGGCCCGCTCTATGCAAAACATTAATTGCATAGATGGGACGGTGACGTGAGGCTTCAGAATAGAGGATGCTGCCACGTGGTTTTGATCCGACGGTCACTACGTCGGCCGGGTTTGTATAAATAGCCTCAATTTTTATTAACGAAGGAGGGCAATTTTTATGGAATCAGAAAAATCTAAGAGAAACAGTATTACAATTTTTCATGGAAGAAACAACACAAGAAGGGTTTACATGTCTTGCTCTTGAAAGTTTGCAAATACATGACAAACAAATACGTTAAGACTCCAACAAAAGAAACTCTTCATTCACATATCTATCGTTCCACATATTCCATCGAAAAAGAAAGACGTATTGCGAGAAATCGATCTGGGCATTCATTGATAGAGCGATTGTAAGAATACCACCCTAACCCTATAAGAACGCATTGGAATCACACTTGACGTGGCAAGAGTGGGCATGATATCTGTTGAGTTCATTTTCCGAGGTCAACAAATACGAATGAATCCTTTGTTGTTTCTTTCATCATCGAGAAACTCTCTTTATCATGGAAATACTTCAAGAAGAATCCTAAGCGATAGAAGGATAACATATCCATTAAAGCTTTGGACCGACATCTACGTATAGAGTAGGAACTCAGAATTTACAATTCTGGTGAATGTATACATTAAATCCACTAGAGTTCATATGGCAGAGGATAAATAAGGGACTAAAATGGATGATGATAATAACTAACAAAATCATGAAAAGAAATGGAAGAATGATTCAAAAGACGAAGATTCCAAGAAATAGAAGGGTCTTGCTATAATTACGGCAAGACATGATATCTCAAAATTGAATCTGTTCATTTGAACAAACAAAAGCAAGTAGACAAGAATGAAGGAAAGACAATTTTGTGGCTTGATTTGTCTTACATTGGAATAAAGTTCGATTTCAAATTTGTTATTGCATCTTTTGAATGTATTGATACTTGTTGGAAATTTCGTAAAAGGATTCATTCTGATTAATAAAGTTATGTATTTGTTTGCTTTATCTTATTTTGGTTAAGTTTAAGGATGTTGATCTAAATACTAGAAAACATTGATGAGAATGAGTTATCATATACTGAAATCATAGTAATCTATACTTATAGATGACTTAATTCTTGTTATTATGTCTACAAAAGTTACAATCTTAGTTATTGTTGGAAAATAACTAGTTGCATTAATTTGCACAATAGTAAAATGCAGAAAATAAAACTTATCGACTAATCGAGTCTTGTGATAGCACGATGTGTCGATGTCCTAAATTGAAATTGCCTACCATTAACCACTGCGACCTTTTTAAACAATCACTCTCATGATAGAATGATCAAATCACATGTGCATCACTTACAAATGATTTCAGAACTCTCAAGTGTATTCTAAAAAATAGATAAAAATATAAAATTCGAGTATGAAAAATTACAGTACACGAAAATGATAAATTCCAAAGAGCAGACATGTGTTTATATAGCCATAAAAGTGATTACTGCCTCCACATGTGATAATTGCAATTTTTATTTAATATCAAGTAACAAACCAACATTCATTTTATTTATTGGCTAGTTTAACACAATAATTAAATTAAATTAAATATGAAAATGATTAAAAAAAATATTTTAATCAAAGAAGCTCAAAAGCCTAAGACCCAATCATTGACTTTTTAATAAACGCGTGGAATGTGAATCAAACCGCCGACCTCTACAAATTCCACAATTTTCACCATTTGGGCACTTTATCCAATTTAATTATTTTTTTTCAAATAATATATTTATTATATATAAATATTTAACAATCCGCACATGAAATAAATAAGATAAGTATAAATATTATTTTGGAGCACGATAGAAGTCATGCAAGTTTAGGTGTCATCGACTTGAATTTTGGCTTTGTATATTCTATCGAGTTTGCTATCTGTAGAGTGACCTATGTCTTGAACTCTACAATTATAGTTACAAATTGAGACAATAGAACACACACGTCTTCTAAAACAATCATTGAGTTTTCATGATTGTGTTCATTTCGACTATGAAC